CATGTTCAGAGATGATAGGCAAATAGTACCTGTGTTCTTTGACATGTATTGTGCATCAGGTAACAAGGGTTAAACTCTCTCTTAGAAACATGCCTGAATATCTAAATTGTTCATTTCTTGATTTTGAAAGTTAAACCAATTGGATGATATAGAAATGTTCTTTTTCTTTGTTTAAACTAGCTGAAACAAAGGAGGCAGTGATTTTGGGGAAGGCATTCCTCAAATTATGCACAACCAATCAGAGTGGGAAACAAGCTAGTCAACCTATCAGCACTCTGGCACCACCTCCAAAGGGTAGGGCCTCCAGCCGAACAAAACCAGAGTGCATCGCAAAATTTAGGGAGTTCCTGCGTTCGCAACAAGTTTCTAAGTTTGTGCCGGCCTTGGTCAGAAAGACAGGTCAGAAGTATTAGGATGCTAAATTATCAGATCTGAAACCTTTGTTTTGTAACTTGCCTGTTCGCCTACACACCTTAAGTTTGAACCACCCTCAGAGAAGGAAGGTGGATATTTCTTGTCTGGCCCGGGAGAATATATCCATAACTTTCGATTCTGCTAAAGAGAGGTAGTTAGTTAAATTGGTACCACCAGCCTCAGAACCCTGATCGCAACCTGAACCTCGCCAGCGGAGTGGGAGCGGTTCTGACGCCACGGAGACCCAGCATCGCACCCAGAGCCACGCACTGATCTGTGAACAGATCGACCCTCGAAAGGCCGCCCGAGCTCCACCGTCAGATGGCCACAAGACGCCTCCGCCCAATCACTGACGGAAAGGTGCGTGCCCGCACGGAGATGCAGCATCCACGGCCAGCTAGGAGAGGAACGACCGCGTGAGCTCCAGCCTTCGATCGAGTCTGTCCTGAGACGACCCCGCCTGAAGTCAGCCCCCGACTCTAACGTAAGCTGGTTCCATCAATTTGCAGTCAGGGCCCTGACGCCAATTTATTTAATAAGAGAACTTTTATAGGTACATCCAGCCATATAGTTATTCCCGTCCAGGCTTAGGTTAATTCTCTAGAGGCTCTCCTAAGCGACTTCCCAAACCACACTGCCTCATACCATTTAGCCGTGAATCACTCTAACTTAATCAAGCTATTTTGTCTTTCATTACTATCACTTTGTTTTGTTTTGTTTTCTGGTTTTATTTTCTATTGTTTATCATTGAATGTAGTCCAAAAGTAGTTTGATATTTAGCCAATAAATTCCCTTTTCTAAAGCATCCTTGGTGCGAGCGTTTCTCTCTCTTGCCCTGGTCTGTAGACTTCAAATAAATCCGGGTTACCTCACACCCTCACATACGGTTCTAGCAATAATAATATTAAAATTGCAAAACCCGTTACAGAGGTCCATAATCTTTACAGCAGCCTTGTAGGCACCTAAGCAAGTAATGTTAAAGAAACTACAGAAAATGATCACTGGCTTCCTAATCAGCCTGGGAAGTAGTAGCATGTTCAAATCTTGAAACTTCTCATACTGTACCTTTTTCATCAGCCTTAAAGGCAAATAAGTTGAAATAGTAATACTTTCTATCAGCCTTTCAACAAGCCATAAAGTCAAATTATTAAGCAATGATGTGAAATGATTATGGGCTTTCTAATGAGCCTTGTGGGCATCTTAAGTGAGTAATGTTAAATACATTACAGTAAATTTGATTGGCCTTTCAATCAGCCTGGAAAGCCAAATGTGTTTTCTATCAGCCTCTGAGGCTACTGCAGTTCACATCAGCCTTAAAGGCATGTAACTAAGTAAAGTTTTGGTAGTGTTATGATATATAGCATATTAGCATGACATGAAAGGCAGTTTTAGTTAGTCAGTTAGTGGTCTAGTTGCATGTTGTCACTCAGGCAGCTGCAAAAACTTTTGTAAGGCAAAAGTTTTAAAGAAAATTAATTGCATAAATGATCTTAAGTACTTTAAAGCTTTATATTGCAGCATTGACATCAGATGCATCAGACCTGATGTCTGCAGGTAATAAACAGGATGTAAGCAGTCTGAAATGTTTCCTTCCTTTACTTAGATACACCCTAACAGACCCTAAACCCCTAACAAATCAGAGGTCAAACCATTTCTCATGTATGATTTCAATGCTATTTAACCCCATATAATCCCTAAATACATACTAGGGCTTATTATTCAGTACCTACAGGGACTTCAATGCAAACTGGCTGAGCTATTCTTAGGTTACATAAGTGTGTAAGAAAACTTTGGGCCCTGGCCATTTCAGGGTTTGAGGAATCTAACAGAATCAATCTGCCACAACATTTTTCCACTGTTTCTGCCTGTAAGTGAGCAGAAAAGTGAGCTTTAGAAAATCAGAAGTCAAACTCCAGACTGTCCTGACAACACATTTGCAGTCAAGTGAGTAAACAAGGCTCACTTTCTCTTTCTCCCTCTCTCACTTTCATTTTCCCTGTTTATTCTTTCTCCCTTCATTATTCTCGCATACCTGTTCAAAAACCACATAGCAGCCACTCCGTCTTTTCTGAGTTTTACTAATGGATTGTGTTTATGTGCATCTACAACATTATCACACAGACAAGCATTTCTCTTACATAATGTAGCTTGAAATAACAATAATGTAGGACATATTTCATAGTAGATGTGGATGATATGGCCAAAAATATGTATCATGGTTTAATTCAAATTGCTGGTTTCGATATATTTCACAGTATATACAGATCGTTCTACATTGGAGTTCAAAACCCATTTTGATTAACTGACCTAGACTTTATATTAAAATCCTTCTACTTTAAGTGACCCCATACCTTAATTATATTTATTTTAGTAAAACAAATTATTAAACTTTCCATTTTGTCACTATTAAAAAAATTATAACACTATTAAGTGTTTCAGTCGTGACTGTTTTGGTAGTGAAAATTTTAGCAAATTTTGACCAGAACTCAAAAACACTAGATTTTCGGACACATTTACTTCAAATTAACGACATCTAATTGCTCATCATGACCATGAGTGGCCATGAGGGACAGGGATGCAGTCTCACTTCCTGCTCTAAAATACAGGGTATGGCTAAAAAATAGATAGATTACACTCTTTGTGTTTCAGTACTGACCTGAAAATATGGAACAGCATTTTTTGCATAAAGCTTTTTTTTTTTTAAAAATAATTAATTAACCTCACAATGAATCTAATTTTTTAACTTTTCTTTAAAAGTGTAATGTAGAAACATGAAGATCTGACCAACAATCCCCATGTTAGAAACCCAGAGAGCTACAGAACAAGCCACTAACCAGGCCAAGAAATGGACTCAAGTGCAAAGCAGTAGAGACTCGAAAAGATGGGAAAAAAAGAGAAAAGTAAGGTGGCCCTGAGCGAGACTCCAACTTGACGTGGGGAGTTGGTGTTACTGGTATGCTACCATGGCAATGCTAAGGAAAGCCTCACAGGAGACAAACAAAGCAGAAGGCTAAGGCCAAACAAAAGAAATACTAGAGCAGCGTCTTTAAACAAAAGAGTTTCTGAAAACCGGAAGGAAAAGCAATCAACAGAAAAGGACACTTGATTTTTCTGTTTTTTTTTTCTTCTGCTGAATAACATAACAGCATCATAACTCGAGAGAGGAACCAACATCAAAGTTATTGGATTAGTCAGAGCGCTGTGCTCGTGGTAGTATGAACTCAAGACAGAGCGGTGAGCTGTGGGAGAGCTCTTCTTAAACAGAGCGTCCACAGCTGCACCCGATCAGCCCTGATCAGCTCGTCCTGGTTCTCTGCCTCCTCCTAGTGGTTGGAGGTGGCCTAGCAGGAGGGCGGGACATTACAAAAAGAAACCAAAAAGATCTTTCAAATAATAACATTGACAAAAAAGGCAATAAATAAATTAAAATATTTTCACAAATGTACATTTAGGGGTTAGGGTTTGTAAAGCAGCCTATAAATGATATCATTCTATATTATCACTGTCAGAACAAAACCTTATATATCCAAAAATGTAACATTACAGTAGAGAGAAAAATAGGTTTTTAACTTTTAATGGAAATTAATCACAAGTAATTTTAGAGCATTTTTATTGGTCCATTCCTCATAAAATTATTATATATATATATATATTTTTTGGCATGGGTGGGACTTCAATGTACATACATCAGATTACAGAGGAAAATTTCTCTCAACCCAGAATAACTATGGTTAGCACAACTAAGCATAAGTTAGCTTCTTCTTAGACAGCTCATATGAATTTGAAACAACAATAAATCACATGGCACTTGAAAACAAATGTACATGGAAGATGTAAACAAAAGCACATGACATAGAGAAACAAGAAAACAAAGGTACATGGCATAAATATAGAAAGACAGGGACAGAGAGTGACAGGATGTTACACATATAATGACAATGGGATAATTTAATAAATGCCCAAAAATAACATATATAGCATACAGTTAACATACATATAGTTGGATGTAAAAGTTTTAATTTTTTGATTTTCTAAGTGACATACTACAATTCTCAACAGGTAACTTAAACATGAACTTCTGTTTGCCTGAGCTTAACATGAATTACTGAATTAGTTAATATCACATCTACATAGACCTTTCATAACAAGTAACATTAGCTTATTAAGGCTTCTAGCAAACTTCAGCTGTCCTAAAGGCTGCTTTTGTCAATTCTGATGTAATTTTATTTCAATAAGTGTTATGACATTAAGATTTGCTGTGATAATGTAAAGACATGTTAGAAATGTCCATCTAGGTTTAAGTCAGTTGTCATAAAAGGCTTATGTAAGTGTCTTGTAGATGTTTGAACACTACCTTTCATTAAAATAAGAGCAAAATCAATATCATTAAAATGAGATTAAAATTAGAATACTATGTTTCCTGTTGGTAAAAGTTGCTTTTGCACATGAATATCAATATTCTAAAACCAAAAAAAGATTATCGAGTAATGACGTAAGGTTTTAAACAAATCAACTCAATCAACTGAAACACTTTGCTTTTGGTGCAAAATTGGCTGTTAAAAAGTTACTTGTCCATCAGTAAAAACTTCAAACAGTAGTTTGCCTTCCCTGGAGGTGGCAGTAGATTTCCATTAGAGGTCCTCCTTGACTGCACTCTCAATCTTTGACAGAAGTGCATTACATTGGATCTTAAAGTCCTTCCCCATGAATGCATAAAGATATGGGTTCAGAGCACTGTTGGCACTGGCAAGAATGATGACAACCACATATGCGGTAGGAAGAAAACTCTTATATTTCTCATAGTTTAGGTCCATCAAAGCAACAGTGTGATAAGGCACCCAGCAAATCAAGGAAGTAGCAACCAGCACCGTCATGATCTTGAAGGGCTTTTTAAACTTCGGCATCTGGTTGGACTTCAGCTTTCGGACAATAGCAACATAGCAGACAATAATGACCAGGAAAGGAATCAGAAACCCAAAAATTAACTCACATGCCACTTCAGCAAAATGGTTTTGATCATTTATGTGACTGTAGAAACAAAATGTGGTATGGTCGAGGTGATCGTGCTCAACATCGTCGAGGACAACTGACTGTGCACTAAGGGCTGCTGAGATGAGCCAAGCCAGCACGACTGCCACAGAAGCCTTTTTTATGGTGCGCTGGTTTTGTGCCCACACAGGAAACATAACAACTACACAGCGGTCCACACTGATGATGACAAGGAGGAAGATGCTGCTGTACATGTTAAGCAACGTGAAGAAAGACCAGAACTTGCACATGAAGTAATCAAAGACCCACTCATTTTTCAACATATCAATGATACCAATGGGCAGGAAGGCGCATAATATGAAATCGGACATGGCCAAACTCAGGTACCAGGTGATAATAACTGATTTCTTTAGCTTAAACCCTGCAATCCAGATCACTAAACCATTTCCAACAACACCCAGGATGAAGATCATCAAATTGGCTGCTGCAAAGAAGATACACATTGCATCTTTGCAAGTTGGAGAAGCCATAGTCGGATTTGTGGTGTTGTTCTCATTTCTGGGGCCAAGATGTTCTTCTTCTGTCACTGGGGCTGAGGTCATTATGCAGCTTGATTCTGTAAAGAAGACACAGAAAAAGTAAATTGCCTTAAACTGATTTGACACATATCCTAAATAAAGAAAGTACTTTGTTAGTCTAGGTTAACACATTTCAATGGAAGATTCTTTATGGTGTACCACAGGGATGTGTAATAGGGCTGCTTTATTTTCATTGTGCCTTCTACGGTCAGCTTATATCATTAGAGTGCCTACAGTGGGTTTTCATAACACTGCAGATGATGCAGTTAGTCAGTCAGGTCCATAAATATTTAGACATTGACAAAGTAATTGTTATTTAGCTGATGATCACATAATAATAACAATGGATAATAAATAAGAGCTGAAAGTGCAGAGATTCAGCTTTGATTTAAGTGTATAACAGTGTAGGAATTACAAACATTTTTGTGAATAGTCCATTATTTTAGGATCTCAAAATTAATTGGACAACTGGCTGCTTAGCTGTTCCATAGCCAGGTGTGTGTATCATGAGAAAGTTGATTTCAAGTGTGACATTTATATATGAAATATGTTACTCTCAATATAAGGTCAAAAGAGCTGTTATTGACATGGAGAGCACAGAGACACCGAAAGGCCCAAAAGACCACAGAAAACGTCTGTGGTGGATAAAAGAAGAATTCTCTACTAGGTGAAGAAAAACCCCTCCACCACAGATGGCCAGATCAAGAACACTCTTCAGGAAGTAGGTGTGTCAAAGTCTACAACAAAGAAAAGACTTCACCAGCATAAATATAGGAGGTTTACCACAAGATGTAAACCACTGGTAAGCCTTGAAAACAGGAAGCTCAGAATGGAGGTAATAAAAGACATCAAAAAAAGATACAGCTCTCAAACATCTTATAAATAGATGAGACAAATATCAACTTGTTCCAGAATGATGGGAGGAGAAAAGTATGGTGAAGAGAAGGCACTGCTTATGATCCAAATCATACCACCTCATTTCTCAAGTATGGTTGAGGTGGTGTTATGGAGTGGGCACGAATGGCTACCAAGTGGTTCCTTTGTATCTTGTAAAAACAGCAGGATGAATTCTGAGGTGTATAGGGCTACACTTCCTGCTTAGTTTTAGTCAATGCTTCAAAACTCATTGGATGACTCTTCACAGTGCAGATGGACAGTGATCTGATGCATATCAACTTTTTTAAGGCAAATAGTGGAATATTCTGCGAAGGTGAAGTCAAGTACCTGACCTCAATCCAATTGATAATGCATTTTACTTACTGAATGCAAACCCAGAGTCTAGAGATGTCTATGTGTTCCAGACTTCTGACAGTCATTGATAAAAAAGGATTTGCAACCAAGTATTACAATGACAATTTAGTTAGTTTGTCCAATTACTTTGGAGCCTTTTAAAATGGGTGGGGGACTATGTATGAAAGTGGTCGTATTTCCCCCATCATTCAAATATAATGATGCTTATCCTTCTGGGTCGTGGTGAGTGCTGGAGCCAATCCCAGCGGTCATTGTGCAGAAGGCAGGAAACATGCCTGACTGCATGTCTTTGGACTGTGGGAGGAAACCGGAGCAAGCAGAGGAAACCCATACAGACACGGGGAGAACATGCAAACTCCACACAGAATGCTCCATAATGTCATAATCTTATTTTGTTGTATTTTTAGAAATATGTTTAGTGATTAATTGTGCATTAAAATATGTAGAAGTGTGTTCTCTGCAGACCATGTGTTCATTTATTTTTACTTATTAAATTAACAAAATGTGTTGATTGACCAAACATGATCATAGCACAACTGTACATTTCAAACAATTTAAAATTGTTAAGTGTTTTTCTATTTATATAATTTAAAAAAGACAAAAATCTTTTACTCTAATTAGGCTAGTCAATACATCACATAACAGCAAGTCAATATAGTACTTTACTAAAATGTAAAAAAGATAGGTAGCTAGTACACATGAGTAGCAAAGGTCTTCCTTCTTACATTCTCTTGCAGACTTTAAAGCTTTAATTTGAAAGTATATACATTCAAATTGGGTGAATGGTATAGGAATTATGGTCATTATTCTACATTGCCCCCTCACATTTTTAGGGGCTCAAAAGTAATAGGATAAGTAAACATTCATAAATTAAACTGTCATTTTTCATACTTCATTGGCTAACACTATGAAACATAGTGAAACGTGGTGGTGGCAGCATCAAGCTAGAAACAAGGACAGGCAGACTGGTAAAAACTGAGAGACAGATGAATGTAGGCAAATACAGTAACAACCTTAAAGAAAATGTCCTCCAGAGTGCATGCAAACTCAGACTGGGGTGACAGTTCACCTTTCAACATGACAATGACCAAAACATACAGCCATAACAATACTGGAGTGGCTTTGGGGCAACCCTCGAGTGGCCAAGCCAAAACCCAGACTTAAACTATCCAATCTGACAAAGCTTGAGAAGATCAAGTTTTTGATTTTTAATTAATTTTTGAAAAATTCTAAAAGCTTCTACATCATTATGGGTGTTTAAGTGTATATTGATGGGTTTATATGGCAATTATATCCATTCAAAATTAAATCTTCTCAGTATATGTTCATTACAATTAATGTTTTTTATAGTGTTACTTCAAAACACACATTTTAGAAGCAACTAAAAAAATGTAAAAACTTTTGAACTTTCATGAAAGTTAAAATGACCAGTGCCTCCGTCAAGATAAATTCAAAATCACCAGTGCAGAGATAATCTGAGAATTTGTAGCTGCCTGATTGTGTTCTTCATATCCTGTAATGGAATATTTGGCTTACTGTCTGGTTTATGTTTGAATGAGTATGAAACTTACCTGTCAATGGCTGCTTCAATGTGCTGCTGCAGAGCTGGGGCTTTGTTGCTTATGATGAAGGACAGACTACTTTATGGCATCAGTTCCTTTCTGTGGTGACTTTAGTTCTCAGAATTCAAAAATAATCTATAAACCACACAGCTCTCTTTGTTGCAGCACATCTACGGCTCAGTTGGGCAATAAGCCACAACAAGTACGAAGCTAGGAACAGGTTAAATAGACAGTAGATATGTCTAATTTGTAAGCAGCTCATTCTTTTGAAAAGGTTCTTTTCAATAACCTCTTCAAAAGTCCAGCAGAATCAAACTTTTTGGGCATCCCTGGCCGAGTTTCTTATTTTGTTGGTTTTCGAAGTGAAAAGAGGTAAACACAACCTCTGCAGCAAAAATCCACAGTTACTTTAAACTTTAAAAAAAAGCCCTTAACTGAATCATTAAAACTGCTTAGGTATCTGTACACTGATGATAATGAGAAGGAAGATGCTGCTGTACATGTTGAGCAACATGAAGAAAAACCAGAATCTGCACATGAAGTGTTTGAAGACCTAATCTTTTTAAACACATCACTGACAACAATGGGCAAGAAGGAGCATAATGCAAAGGCCAACAAAGCCAGGTTCAGGTACTAGGTGGTAATAATAAGATTTCGGCAAACCAAAGAAGAGGCATTTTGTCCTTTCTGTAAACCCTTTTTTAATGAATTGGTCAAACCTGTAATGCCCCAACTATCTGCTAGGCCTATTCATGGACATAGTAAACAAAAGGCTCAAATCCTGCAAAAGACTCAAATCCGTCCTCTTCATAGGGCATATGACTGTGCCATAGACCTATGACCTATGGTCCTGAGTGGATAACCATGGAAGAGAATATAAGGGAGGCATTGGTGCTTGGCTTCATATGGCCTTCCACCTCACCAGCTGGGGCAGGATTCTTCCTTATAGGGAAGAAGGATGGGGGGGTCTTCATTCCTGCATAGACTCCTGATAGACCAAACCAATAACAGTTAAAGACCGCTACCCCCTGCTGCTTATGACCTCAACCTTTGAGGACTTGCAGAGTGTCTATAATTTCATTAGAGTTCAGTAGAGCAATGAATAGGAAAACAATGTTCATTACTTCTTCAGGCCCCTATGAATATTTGGTCATGCCCTTTGAATTAAAGAATGCCCCTGCTGTCTCCCAGCACTTATTAATGAGGTCCTGTGGGAGGCCCTGAATCCCTACATGTTTGTCTACCTTAATGACATGCTCATTTACAGCTATTCTTTAGGCAAACACACAATCCATGCCAGGTGTTTGTATCTCCAGCTTTTACTAAGTAACCATCTGTATGTCATTTGTCAAACTGGAGAAATCCCTTTCCCACACTCAGTTGGTTTTCTCATGTTTGGTTGTATCAAAGGAACAACAGAGCATGGAACCTGCTAAGATTAAGGCCATTGTGAAGTGGCCCCGTCCAAACAGTCTTTGTCAATTTAAATTTTTTCAGTCATTTTATCTGGAACTTCAGCCCTGTGGCTGCCTCCTTGACTGCCCTCACAAAGAAAACCTTGGGGTAGTTCTAATGGCCTAGAATGACTGAGGATTACTATTTAAAGTAGAGGTAAATGCCTCCGATATTGGTGTGGAAGCAGTCTTTTCCCAATGTTCCAGCCCTCACTGTAAGCTCTGCCCCTGTGCCATCAAATATAAAGTAATTTTTTATTGCACTTTTTGTCAATGTTTGTGTTTTTTTTCCACCATGGATCATTGCAGATAGAATCTAAAAATGTTCTACTGAAGTGAATAAGCTCAGCTCCTTCTTTGCTTTGCACAACTTATCATAGGCAGATTTATTGCAGTTCACATGCTCAGTATTGGCTGCATTTTGGGAATGCTTTGTATATATGGGCAGATTTTCTAAATGACGTTTGGTAGACATTTGGTGAATTGCTGGAAATGTGGCTATCCCATTGATTCTTTCCTGAATAACATGTGGCTTCTTAACTTTTTTCCTTTGGCTCATGGATTTGCTACACCCAGACTTGTATATTTGAAGTAGCTTTGTTACTCTGAAAGAATATTTTTAAAGTTTTGAGTCAAGCACTCTTTATTCGACAAAGCTTACGTGTTAGCCATGCCACCCCTATTATAAGTTATTACGGACAGTCTACTTTAGATCTGGTTTTCCCCTTCTGGTAATGTTTATGTCAATAGTATCCATAAAAGGAATACGATGATTTGATATTTAAAAAAAAAACAAAAGTCTTTTAGTCTATTTTGTCTTGAAACCGTATGGCTTAACATGTTTTGAAGACACTCATTGGGGTTACATATAACACAACCTTTAAGCAGTGGGTGATGAAGACTGGCTTTACTTTCTGCACATCCTTAACAGCTCAAGTCAGTCACTTACCAGACAAATAACAGTTAGAAAAACCAAACGTTTAGATACTTTTTCTTGTAACACTAAAGAATATAATATGTTAGGCCTATGTACATCCTATGTTCCGAAGGCCTTGTATTGGCAGAATAATGTTCTCATGTTGCCCTTATTGTCATTTTCTAGGAACTTTATGCATCAATATGAAAAATAAGACTATATTTGGATACTCTATGTTCACTATATAATATCTGAAATTAAATTATGGATATACTGCATATAGATTGCCTTATTAAAACACACTCTGGCTATACATTTCAGTGAACAGAGATTATTTAAGATCTTTTCGGGTTTTGCTCAAGATTTAACTTGAGCTTCACAATGTTAGCAACATTGAAAGTATACCTAAATTAACATTTGCACTAACAATAGAATCTTTTAGCACATCCTCAGTGAGAACAAGTTATTGTTTGGGGGAATTCCTAAGGGGCCATTCCATTACTGTTTTATCTCAAAAAGAGAAGTGAGGGGTCAAATCAAAATAAATGTAGATACCAGGAACAGAACTTTATGCTGCTATGTTTGTATCATCCATTATGTAATATTTCAGAAGTATGTCTTAAATATCATATATTTCAGTTTACTATGTTTAAACTGGGTACACTGTTAAAAATAAAGGTTTTGTGCAGGTACATTTTTCATTCACCAAGGTACAAACAAAGTAAATGTTTCCTCGACGGTTTAACAGTGGTTATAAGGTCCAAATCTATATCTTAAATACATTTTTCCCAGGTGAAAAGTACATATTTGTACTTTTTCGTAACCTAATGTTTTAAAACAGAGCAATAAAATAAAAAGCCTGGAGATGAGACGGGGTGTGTGGAGTCAATACAACTTAGAAAATATCATTTCAATGGATTATGGTATAGTTATGTTCCCTGACTAAAGGTACTGAGATGTACCCCTGAGCCATTGATGTCGAAGGAGGTAGGGAGCGAGGGTTGTGCCTGAAGTCCACCACCATCTCTATAGTTTTTTGAATGTTCAGCATCAGGGGGTTGCTACTGAACCTAGACACTGGCTGATTGACTTCCTTTCTGTAGCTGGATACATCATTGTTGGCTGTGAGGCCCACCACGGTAGCGTAATCTGCAAACTTCATGATGGTGTAATGGAAAGAAATGATGGCACATCGTACAAAGTTTTCTGAAGATATTGTAAAGACTCAGTAAAACCACAATGAGAATCATTGATTTCTTTTACAATCCAGAGTTAACTTTGGTTGTAGGTAATATACAGGAGCATACGATATAAGAAATTGTACTTTGTTGATGAACAATCGCTTTACACCATTTAACAGCCTTTTATTCAGAATAATTGCACAATTCTGTGAAGTTTGTTTCCTACACTTACTGAGTTAATAACTAGAACCTGTTGGGCATTCATTGTAATTAAAACACCATAGTATAACAGTATTCAAGTCTTTAATGAAAAGGGAAAAAGCAGCTATAGTGAAGTATGAGCTCTAAACTCAAACAGGTGTTTGTGCACATAAACAGAAAACCAGCTTTCAACAGCCACTGAATTCTTTGTAATTCACAAGTTTCGCAAGACTTCTTGATAATAGATACATAGAGAGAATGTTGATTTGTACTGTGATTGATAGCATGATAGCATGATTCTGCTTGTAAGGACTTGTTTGATGCCTTTTGGTATGTGATGACTTGGTTCTTGTCTAAAGGCTGTTACAAGAGTAACCTTTAGAGGTTGTAGGTTTCATTAACCCCTTAAAATCCCAGGCTTATTAAATACTCAAGTTTATTATTCAATAACTACAGGGACTTCAATGCAAACTGGTTGAGCTATTCTTAGGTTATAGAAGTGTGTATATAACCGCTGGCCTGCATGAGTGACCAAAGAAACCCACAAATGTAAGTATTTTCTCCGTTAGCGCATGGAGCTCCATCATTCCAGAGAATGTTTCTCATAACACTCCATTTGGAGTGTACCTCTGAAAAACCTCCGTTTGAAGGGCGATGTAGCCCTAACACTTCACCCTACTCCTCTATCTTAACAAAAATTGGGACACCCTAAGCCTAGACATGAACACGCAAAATGAAGGGCTAAGGGCTAAGTGGTAGGGGTAAGGGGTGAAATGGGATTCGGCCCATTTCATCCCAAAGGTACTCCATCATGGAGCTCCATCATTCCAGAGAATGTAGTTCTATTGCCCTACAGCTCAGTGCTGGGGGGGGGGCGCTTTATCAAGCTGACACTTGGCACTGGGTATGGTGACCTTAGGCTCACCTCTGCTGTCTCAGTCTATTGGCATGCTTTTCTATAGAGATTGCATGGCACTATGTGCTCATCTCATTCAGCATTTGGCTGAATTCACTATTTAGAAGGTCTGTCTGGACACTTTTTGGACAGATAGTGTGTTTTAAAGAGTTTCACTGGAAAAGTTCAATATTGCATGATAGTGCCCCCACCTGGCCAATTCTAGTCATATCACTTATTTCCGGACGTGACAAATGCCTCATAGGCCAACATTTGCAAACATGTTTGTGTGTATTTTTTTGCAAAACATGTCTGACATTTTTCACTTTAAACCTACTGACCAAAAAATAATGCGCTAACAATTGCCCATTATCCACTAAGCACTGCTTCTGCTTAATTAA